ATGTTTCAACCGCTGTATCTATCTGCAGAGCTCCGCTAAGTGTATCTGCAGAGCTCCGCTATTTCTGACAGTTCTGTGACATTCCCTCCATACAGTGGTTGAAACATTGTATCTATTTGTTTCCTTCTCCTTCTTCTCATCCTTCTTCTCATCCTTCTCCTTCTTCTCATCCTTCTCCTTCTTCTCATCCTTCTCCTTCTTCTCATCCTTCTCCTTCTCCTTCTTCTCATCCTTCTCCTTCTTCTCATCCTTCTCCTTCTCCTTCTTCTCATCCTTCTCCTTCTTCTCATCCTTCTCCTTCTCCTTCTCATCCTTCTCCATCTTCTCATCCTTCTCCTTCTCCTTCTTCTCATCCTTCTCCTTCTTCTCATCCTGCTCCTCATCCTTCTTCTTCTCATCCTTCTCCATCTTCTCATCCTTCTCCTTGTTCTCATCCTTCTCCTTCTCCTTCTTCTCATCCTTCTCCTTCTCCTTCTTCTCATCCTTCTCCTTCTTCTCATCCTTCTCCTTCTCCTTCTTCTCATCCTTCTCCTTCTTCTCATCCTTCTCCTTCTCCTTCTTCTCATCCTTCTCCTTCTCCTTCTTCTCATCCTTCTCCTTCTTCTCATCCTTCTCCTTCTCATCCTTCTCCTTCTCCTTCTTCTCATCCTTCTCCTTCTTCTCATCCTTCTCCTTCTTCTCATCCTTCTCCTTCTTCTCATCCTTCTCCTTCTCCTTCTCCTCATCCTTCTCCTTCTCCATCTTCTCATCCTTCTCCTTCTTCTCATCCTTCTCCTTCTCCTTCTTCTCATCCTTCTCCCTTCTTCTCATCCTTCTCCTTCTTCTCATCCTTCTCCTTCTTCTCATCCTTCTCCTTCTTCTCATCCTTCTCCTTCTTCTCATCCTTCTCCTTCTCCTTCTTCTCATCCTTCTCCTTCTTCTCATCCTTCTCCTCCTTCTTCTCATCCTTCTCCTTCTCCTTCTTCTCATCCTTCTCCTTCTTCTCATCCTTCTCCTTCTCCATCTTCTCATCCTTCTCCTTCTTCTCATCCTTCTCCTTCTCCTTCTTCTCATCCTTCTCCTTCTTCTCATCCTTCTCCTTCTCCTTCTTCTCATCCTTCTCCTTCTCCTTCTTCTCATCCTTCTCCTTCTCCTTCTCCTTGTCCTTCCTCATCTCCAAGGGCATTTAAATTAAAGGTACAGTGTTCTGCACTAATTTAAAGGCTCTCTGAAGCCTAGAAACCCTTTTAATAAGTTAAATTCATAGCGAATTAATTCGCATCGAATCGAATTTCTTCCTCAAATTCGGCGAATCAGCCAAATCGAATTTTTGAATAATTCGCTCATCTCTAGTTCTCAGCATTAAAACACCAGAGAGGCCTGATAAGAACAGAAGTAGCCAATAGGTCGATGAGCTGTTGTGTGGAGCAGGGCTGTTTGTCTGTTGAGACACTGCTGGGCTTCTTTGATCTTGTTTGGAACTCTGGAGCAGCCAGAACTTAAAAACCCTGTTTATTCAGGCGGGAATCTGAAGCTTTGATTTGTACCAGTGTATGGACTGTTTTGTTTGTTTTTGCTGAAGATGAGCTGTTTTGTTTGCCCTTCTTGGAGAACATGGCTGCCTAGTGATCCAAAATGCCAAAATATCACACTATATCTTTATATAGTGTGATATTTGGGCATTTTGGATCACTAGCCAGCCATGTTCTCCAAGTCTTTCCCTTAGTTTCTTTTATAAAACTTTGCAAACAAATAATCTTTCTTATTATTTAGACTGTGTGAAAGTTTGGGAGTCTTCAAACCATGGTATACAGTATATGGAAATTGATCAACCCTGATTTTCTGACTGCCTATCTTGTTTCTTGAGGCCCTAAAATGCCAGGACAGTACAAACACCCCCAAAAATGAACCCTTTATGGAAAGTAGACACTTGAACGCAGGGGTAGGCAACCTTGCAGAGGTTAAGGTCTATATGGACACTATGGAAGATATCAGAGGTCCCTAGGGGGAAAGGTGGCAGAGCGGCAGTGTTTAAAACTTCACATCACTCCCCCCCACAGTAGTATCCTCTGCCCTCTTTCACATCACACACACACCCCTGCTCCCCCACAGTAGTGTACTGTGACCCCTTCCCACAGTATTATCCTGTGCTCCCCCACAGTAGTGCCCCATGTGCCCCTGTACAGTGGTGTCTTCTGACCCTTTCCCCTCTAGTAGATCTTGATTGACGACTTACCGACCCCCTAAGGTATTTAGTAACAGAGTTTTTTGAAAAATAAAGAAAGTACATACATATTTTTCCACAAAGTTGTCAATTGAACCAGCTGTTTCGCACATGCAGCATAGGCATACCAACAATTATACCTCAAGACACATTCCTACTGTATACTCCTTCAGTATGGGCATAGACACATGTGTGAGACTTTTTGATGTTTAAATGCAAAGAGTGGCCCACAATCAAAGGAACAGCTTCAGGCTTTCAAGGGGTATAAATTACACATATGAGTTCCTGACTACAAATCACATTTCTTAAGGCCCTGAAGTGGCAGGGCAAGAGAAGTACCCACATAATGACCAAATATTGCAAAGTGGGCCCTCCAATGTATTTACTAAGAGGCACGGTGAGTCTTTTGATCAACTAATTAAAGTTCATATTTTTGCTACACTTTTTTTTGAAAAATTAAGAAAATGACAATGTATTTTTTTTAAACAAGGTTGTCAATTTATAAGATTATATTTCTAGCACACACCATGAGCATACTTAGAATTATGCCACAAAACATAATCTGATACGCCTCCTGAGTATGGGGATCCCTCAAAACTTCACTCTTAGCTATCCCCATGTCTTTTTGGAGATAACACGTATTCAGTGACTGAGTAAATAATCAAATTCAAATCCTGTACATTCTTCTCCATAGCAAAGGCTGAAATCTTTCAATAACAAAGTTAGTTATCCATAACCACAATGTTTATCAGACTTGTTCTAAAGTTGGAAAATCCAATCCAAAAAAGTTTCCACCACTTTACTGGGCATATCAGCTACCTCCTCATCATTCCAGTCCTTGTCTGCTTCATTCTTCACATTCTTGTCCAAGAGTTCCAAGATCTCTTTGGGGACATTAAGGCTGCATCTAGTAAATTAATTCTAACTTTCAATAGTCAACTCCTCAGTGGAATTCAGTATATAAATATTCCACATTTTCAGAGAATAGTAATTAATGATTTATACATTGAATGGTATAAGGTTATTATTGGTGTAATGAAACAAAAACAGAAAAGGTAGCGCTATTGTCAAATTAAATATACAATTGTGATATAAAAATTATATGTGAACAAAAAAAGGTTCATCCTTCTGCTCTGTGAAGACGTCAGGTGACGAAATGTGTAGGGTGGAGCTTCGGACTGACGTCACTACATTCTATAAGCGGCCGACGTGCCCGGCTTCCTGCAATGATTTTAATGAAATGTGTTTGTTGCTAGTGTCGGCTAGACACTGTTCCATGTGAGTGGATTTTGATGAGTTTTTATGAATAAATGTGTCAAACGGTATCACACGATCGTCTGCTTTGTTCTCTCTTTCCTTTCTGAGCCTGTGCATAAAAGTATTTGGAATGCTGTGTGGAGGATTTCGCTTCCGATTTCATAGATCTGCAGAGTATTGCTCCCAAAGAGGATATATATTATTATTATTATAATACAGGATATACAGTGGGGCAAAAAAGTATTTAGTCAGCCACCAATTGTGCAAGTTCTCCCACTTACAAAGATGAGAGAGGCCTGTAATTGGCATCATAGGTAGACCTCAACTACGAGAGACAAAATGAGAAAAAAAAAATCCAGACAATCACATTGGCTGATTTTGAAAAGAATTTATTTGCAAATTATGGTGGAAAATAAGTATTTGGTCACCCACAAACAAGCAAGATTTCTGGCTCTCACAGACCTGTACCTTCTTCTTTAAGAGACTCCTCCGTCCTGCACTCATTACCTGTATCAATGGCACCTGTTTGAGGTTGTGGACAGGTGTCTTTTATACTGATAACAAGTTCAAACAGTAACACTCCAAACTCCACTATGGTGAAGACCAAAGAGCTGTCGAAGGACACCAGAAACAAAATTGTAGACCTGCACCAGGCTGGGAAGACTGAATCTGCAATAGGCAAGCAGCTTGGTGTGAACAAATCAACTGTGGGAGGTACTCAACAGATGGAAGTATGACAAGAAGAAATGTCAAACAACACAGGGTTAGGACTCAAGTGGGTTGATAAACCACTGCTGGAGAATGTCATACCTTAGACTGGTCCATTATGACATTCTGGGCATGGACCCTTTCCAAGAAATTATATTTAAAATGCATCAAGTCATACAAAAATGGTCTGACAAAGTATTCTTAGTTCAATACTTTTGTGACAGACATTTTATAGTTCTACTATAGTTTATGTCAAGTAACAACTGAAAATTATTTTGTTTTTCAGGATGTGATGTATATGATGTAGGAGATCTACACTTTGCCCAAGTTCCTAATGATAAGCTGTACAACAACACTGTTAAATACCCACGTACAGTTGGCCTTGCATGTCAAGTGTTGGCTGATGAAGTTAGTAGAGTAGTAGCAGCTGGTCATACCTGTGTAACTTTGGGAGGAGATCATAGGTAAGTCTGTTTACTACTATTACAAGCATGAGCACATGGCATTCCTCCTAAATTTTCCAGGACAGGGACAAAGAACCAAAATGTAGAAGTCACAACTTTTTTTATTTTATTATTTTTTTTGCAATAGCAATAAAATATATAAATGCATCTCAAGTGCATTAAACACCTTTGCAAACTCAGATTTTACCGGATTTAGTAACTCTAAACTTCTTGATTTACATGTGACATTCTATTAAAGCGTATCTGTGGTCAAAATGTACAATTATATATTCATTTTCACATTGTATTTCAGTTATTTCTAACCTACTTCTATTATTCTAAACAAACTTGAAGTCTGTAAACCTAGTGAAGATCCCCACACATTTATGTCCTTGAATTCTGTGACATGTATTTACTGTGCCCTGTGAGTGGGCACTGCTGTGTCACACTGCCTTCTGAACTACAGAGGTACTGAGAGCAGGAATTTCAGGGGGTGGAGTCAGGACCAGAACCACAGTTTGCAGGCAGCAAGGTACCATGGGGTATGTAGTCCTTATAAACTGAAAGTAAACTGCAGAGGAGAAGCTGCAAAGCACACAAGAAATCCAAGACGTTGTGGAAATAGTTGGCCAGCAGACAGGCAGAACTCACCAAGAAAAGGTAGATCTTTCATGCTTACATTGTTTGTATAGTTATTACAATGCTGATGTTCTAAAATTGAAGTGTATGCTATAACCACAGAACTCCTTTATTACAGTTGTGGCCAAAATTATTCAACCCCCACTGAAATTGAGTGTTTTGGCCAGTTTGACATTGCTTTTGATCATTCAGTCATCTTGCTTACATTTACATTAAAGAGGCACTTGTAGGTCAGACAAATATAACATAACAGTTATAATGAAATAACCACAAATGTCTTTTCTGTGCTCACAGCATTATCAGTTTTATTCAACCCCCAAGTGACATTCAATCTTAGTACTTAGTACAGCATCCTTTTACAGTTTTATAACAGCTTTTAAACGTGAAGCATAGCTTGACACAAGTGTCTTGCAGCGATCTCTACGGGTATCTTCGCCCATTCTTCATGGGCAAAGGCCTCCAGTTCAGTCACATTCTTAGGCTTGCGCACTGCAACTGCTTTCTTTAAGTCCCACCAGAGGTTCTCAATCGGATTTAAGTCTGGTGACTGCGATGGCCACTCCAAAATGTTCCAGCCTTTCCTCTGCAACCATGCTCTAGTGGACTTGGAGGTATGCTTGGGATCATTGTCCTGTTGAAAGGTCCAACGTCTCCCAAGCCTCAGGTGTGTGACGGACTGCATCACGTTTCCATCCAATATCTCCTGGTACTGAAGAGAATTCATGGTACCTTGCACACGCTGAAGCTTCCCTGTACCTGCAGAAGCAAAACAGCCCAAAGCATGATTGACCCTCCCACCATGCTTCACAGTAGGCAAGGTGTTCTTTTCATCATAGGCCTTGTTCTTCCTCCTCCAAACATAGCGTTGATCCATGGGCCCAAACAGTTCTCTAATTTTGTTTCATCAGTCCACAGAACACTATCCCACAACTTTTGTGGTTTGTCCACATGGCTTTTGGCATACTGCAGTCGACTCTTCTTATTCTTTGGAGACAGCAAGGGGGGGTACGCCTGGGAGTTCTGGCACGGAGGCCTTCATTACGCAGTGTGCGTCTTATTGTCTGGGCTGAAACTTCTGTACCCACATCTGACAAATCTTTTCTCAGTTCCTCAGCAGTCACACGGGGACTTCTCTCCACTCTACGCTTCAGGTAGCGCACAGCAGTCGAAGTCAGCATCTTCTTTCTGCCACGACCAGGTAGCGTTTCAACAGTGCCCTTTGCCTTGAATTTGCGAATGATGCTTCCTAAGGTGTCTCTTGGTATGTTTAACATCTTTGCAATCTTCTTATAGCCATTGCCCTTCCTGTGAAGAGAAATCACCTCTTCTCTTGTCTTCCTGGACCATTCTCTTGCCTTCACCATGTTTGTAACCACACCAGTAAATGTCTAGAAGGAGCTGAGTATCACAGTCATTTTAAAAGCTGCCTAATTGGTGCTTATTATTGATTGCTGCTCGGTGACATCCACAGGTGTTTTCAATACCTGATGGAAAGCACCTGTATGAACCTCTGTTCTTCAGAGTGGTAGTCTTTAAGGGGTTGAATAATTGTGGCAATGAAGAAACCACATAAGAACCATTTACTACTGTATTACATAAACAATTGATGTCATTTTAGTTGCATTTGGGTAGTTACAACGTCCTTGTAGGATTTGATTCTGAATACAATTCCAAATGTACACTATAGTCCCTAAACCCCTTTACAGCATTGGGGGTTGAATAATTTTGGACACAACTGTATGCATAAAATCTGAATCTGATGTTTGCAATAATTTAAATGGTGTCATAAATACACTCTTCACACTTGGGAGCAATTATACACAACTGAATATATAAATCTTTGAAATCGAAACCTAAAAGTGTGCACCAACAAAAAAGTTACATTTTTCCACTTTGATCAATTAATACAATGTTTATGTGTTCTTTTAATATTGGAAGAAAAAAAATAAGCTCTTCATATTCGCTTGAGTGAATAAATACTGAGCACCTCCATATTATAACTATCAGACAAAGTTTTGGGGATTATTAGTTTGCCATTGATGACATTTTCCTCCCATTATGTCATAGGTGACACATTCAATTCTTGCTGCACAGAAATAAAGTGTTTTAAGCTGGTCAGTTTAAAAAATCCTAATGTACTAAATAGAATTTAGCCAACTGAGCTCCCATGCCTATGAATCTTTATGGAACAAAGTAACTTTTACATTTTAACTATGGATATATCAGCAACAACTTTGTCATTAATTATAATACCTAAAAATCATATATATGGGGACCAGAAATTCTTTTTGACCTCGTTGTAGGCTGTCAATGTAGAAAAAAGTGCAGATTTTATCCAAAAAGTGTAAAATTGTAGTGTAAATCTGTGATTTTTTTTTATTTATGAGTACACAAAAATTTATGTTTCTGGTACAAAGCATGACAAAGCTATTTACAAATTAAATAAATCATTTTACATACTGCCAAATTGACACCTAGGTCCTAGTAATTTCACGCGGTAAGTGAGCCTTTGGTCTTCCGATGATGTTTTAGGGCATACAAGTATATGGCATAGGTTTAAGGTTTTAAAAAAATAACTAAACCCAAGAAACAAAAATGTAACTTATTGCAGCCTACAATACCTAGATGTGGTGGTGCAATAGTATCCTTGTCACATCCTGTAAGCTGCAGAGATAAAAAATAAATTCCTTCTTAGCTGCCTTCATTAACTATTTCAGCTATTTGAATGTATTACCTATGTCCAAAGAGTGAACCCTTAAGCACAAGCTGATGGCTGCAGAAGCCTGTGCCTATTTTCTTCAGCTGGCTTCCATCTTGAAAGTGAAAATGATGCAGTGGCTGTATAGCCGATGATCACTTTCACAGTGTGGGCGGCGCTGTGTCCCCCTTGAGTTTCCTGGGCTCTCCAGCTTTTATCAGGAGCCCAGGACCACAGTTGCCGACTTCAAGAACGGAGAGCAGGGGGAAGCCTGAGGCACATCCATGCCTCAAGCTCCACTGTACTGAAAAAAAAAAACCCTGGAAGCAACCATGATTTTGTACCTTCCGATTTCAGGTTCTCCATTTCCTGGCCAGTACAGCCAGGGGAGCATCTAACTGAGCAGATCTGTACTTGGTTAGATGCTGTGAAGGGCAGGGGACATATTAGGTTAAGTTAGACCCCTAATGTCCACATAAAGAGATCCTGCCACCTGCCCTGGCTGTCACTTGGGGTTTATTATTATTAGGTTCAACCTTACAAAAATTATAAGGACCACGATCAAGCCACTTAGGAGAAGGTCTGTAAGTACGTAAACCTATAGAAAACACTGCACAAAAAATAATAGGTACAACTACTCATGAATAGGTCTTGTCAAGTAAGTGGTTTGGGGTGGCAAAAACGGGCAGCTGAGCTGTGGTTTTACTGCCCACTAGCACAGGAAGAACTTGGTTGGGTAGCAGAGTGGTAGAAGAGCATAAGGATGTCATCTAGGCACTTCTCGCCCATTAGAACAGAGCTCCCCTGCTTTACCAATCAACTCCTGGGCCTTCTCTTTACAATTCTTGCAGCTCTCCACATGGTCAGCTGTGCTCAGTGCTCAATGAGGAAGCCGACAGCCTCAGAGGGATGCTGACAGTGGAGGCATTAAGGGCCAGATAGGAAAAGCCAAAGGCCAGATGTGGCCCTGGGGCTGCAATATGTCCAGGTCTGGTGCAAACGGATACCAGCAGCAGCACATCAAAACCATCCTTCTTCTTGATCCACTGGGAGCAAGAATTATCTTATATGCTCTCTGATGAGCACAGATCCAAAATTCTTCTTCAGACTCATAATCCCTCTATCAATACAAATATATCAGTGGGTAATTTTAAACTATGAGCTTGGTGGTACAGGGACCCAGTACACTCAAGCAGGTTAAACACATGGGTTTTTCCAATATGCTGGAGATGTGGGCAGGCACCTCTTCCATATTTGCACTTATTGAATCTTATTGGAAACAAGATCACTGATCTCAATAGTGATAACAAAACTATGCCTTCCATTGCATATCCAAAATGACTGATACTATACAGTTGCAAGAAAAAGTATGTGAACCCCTTGGGATTATGTGGAGTTTTCCATGAATTGGGCATAAAATGTGCTCTGAATGTCATCTAAGTCCCAACAATAGAAGAACACAGTCTGCTGAACATAATACTACACAAACATTAGATGTTGCCATGGTTTAATTGCACATAACATGTAAACATTCACAGTGCAGGGAGGAAACAGTATGTGAACCTTTGGACTTAATAACTGGTTGACCCTCCTTTGGCAGCAATAACCTCAACCAAATGTTTCCTGCAGTTGCAGATCAGACCTGCACAACGATCTGGAGTAATTTTGGACCACTCCTCTTCAC